CAGTGCAGAATAGCATGAAATGCCCGTAGTCTTTTTGGATAGTCTTTGATGGTATTTTCTTCCCCCTGCCCAGATTCTCATGCATTAGTCAAAGCATGCCAACTGCTCACTCTCACAAACTCTTTGTCATGTACGCCTGTGGACACGCACAAATCACCTTCTGTCCATTCACACTGCACACATTAACCCACACTTCTCTGTGTTTGCATCACCATTCACCGCTGACCTATATCCAGACATAAACCAGGTGAAACTACGCTCTACTGAGTTGCTTTCAGTGTCATAAAATTCAGCTTCAGGGCGGATCTCCATCGATCCCGGGAGAATCCCCTTCGCTGACACATACACGCCATGGGCCGCTAAACCTAAAATAAAACTGCAGTCACCATAGGGCAAACATGCTGACCCACAGGTTAATAGAATTTTAGCAGAGTGACAAACACACACACACACATCAAAAACTACACAGTGAATAAGCAGAAGCAGAGAACTGTAGAGAAACACAGTACAGATGGGAAGAGGAAGATGAAAAGAGTGACAAAGCAGAGAAGAGGGAGACAGCGCATGACAGGCCATGAGAAAAAAGCAAGCAAGAGAGATAGTCTGATGAGATAGTAATGAAATCATTCAGCTGCATGGAGAAACATAGACTGGATTCTATGAAAAGAAAGGGTGAGAGGAGGGACATTAGCGCATTTGTGCAGGATAGAGAGAGATACGGGATAGAGGGCGAATCTTCTGAGAGGGGGGACATAGAAAAATTTCAACAGAATATTCAGGTCATATTTCATCCCAAACTTAAAGGAAAAAATATGATCTGCTGAAAGAAAATGTCAACATGAAATGCAGTTAACAATCATAAAAAACTGCCCAATTATTTAGGGCAGGATTTTTTAAGTTTGCTGAAAAGGAAAGTTGTTTGAGAAAAGATTTTTTTAATAACATACACAGATTATTTATGCACAATAAGACCAGAAACATTATATTATAATGTAAACAGGGTCATTATTCAAGTAGATTTTTGCATAATTTTAGTATTTTTTTTTTCCAAAGAAAATTGAAAAAAATAATGTATTACAGTATTACCGTTAATTATCAGTGTTGGGGAAAGTTACTTTTAAAAGTAATGCATTACAATATTGCGTTACTCCATAAAAAAGTAACTAATTACGTTACTTAGTTACTTTTTATGGAAAGTAATGTGTTACGTTACTTTTGCGTTACTTTTTAAATCTGGACAGGGCTTGCTTGTTTGTTTTTAAAATAAAAAAGTTATATTTTTGGCAAATATAAAAGCCTTTTCACAAAAGTGAAATGAATAAGCCTCAGGCTGAAGGAAATGTAAATTTACGTCCGTACAGTAGAATACAGAAGAAGAAATTTCAACACACTTCAGCAATAAAAAAAAAGACAC